CTCTTCCTTACTTTCAAGAAAGCAGCAATGTCACATCACAACCAGACGTGTTTGTGTGCTTGTGTGTATTTCCACCCCTTTATTTCATTCTTTAAGCAGTCATTACCTCATTAATTTATCCATACAGATGCTTATATTGTCTCTGAATTCCATAAAATTCCTTCTGTTCTTTCATTTCAGATGGTTCCTATGTGTCAGTTCCATCCCCTCTGGGAAAGATTAAAAGCATGACGAAAGGTACTCAATGGCAAGGGAAAACCTGAACTTTCATGGTCTTTTCACCCAAGGTGTTTGTCAGCCTAAACATACTCTGCAAGACTAATCGTTCCTGGAAATTTTGTTGTTCAGAAATGTAATAATGTGCATGAGCAGCAGCTGTATTTCCCTAGGATAATTTTAGGAAACCATATACTTATCTTTGTTGCTCAGCATCATGATAATTCCTGTATTTATCTTATTTTCATTTACTTTAAAAAAAAGATACTTATTTCTTTGGAGAAAAGGATGTGATTGTGAATTAGTACCAATGCAGTACACACATATCCGTGAACACAAACAAATATAATAGACTTCCACTGTAAAATGCCTGGATTATCTTTACAAGAAGAGATCTGGCCAAAAATAATTTGTGTTAATCTGAAACACATATAGATAAAACATTCAGATGAATATTTATACTTTAAAATATTTCCCTTTTTTTCATGGTGCTTTTAATTTTCTCCTTCAAATATTTGCTCTGGATATAATCAAATCCTCACATGCTTTACACAGCAGCATTGAAATGTTCCCTTTGTAAACACTCTGATAAACTTTATCAAAGATCAACAAGGTGGAGAAGTTTTCTAACTAAATTAAGTTGCAAAATTTTTTGTTCCCCACGTCATTAAAGAGTCAGTCAGATCTGGAATAACATCCCCTGCATCAGTGATGAGCACTAGCTATGCAGAAAAAAAGGAGACAATTCTCCATATAAAGAATTTTACACAAGCGTGAGATGATATGGGCAGAATGTGCTCACGGGACCGTGTTCGTCAGCGATAAGGTTTTAAAGCCCAGAAAGCCCACGGCAGCGAGTGTTTGTCTGTTACTGGGGTTTGCTGGGGTTAATGAAAGAAGAGGGAATGGGATTACCAGTCAGCCAATTTACGGGAGGAAAATCAGCTTTCACCGCGCAATGGTTTTGTGAAGTTAAAGGTTTATGTTCTGTCCTTCCCCACGACCCCGCATTTTACAAACAGGATAAGTGTTTTCTTTTGCAGAAAAGGCAGATGTTCTTCTGCTCCGTGCTGGTTTGCCATCCCACTTCCACCTTCAGCTCTCCGAAATAGAGTTCCATGAGATTATCGGCTCAGGTACCAGCAATAAGAACGCATCCGCTTCAAATGTCTGATGTTCATAAAAAATACCTTTGTGCTTATTTATTTTAATCCATTTTAGGGTCTTTTGGAAAAGTATATAAGGGACGATGCAGAAATAAAATTGTTGCAATCAAACGGTAAGTTTGTCAGACTTTTCCATCTTGTTTGGTTAATGACCTAGTTTGAAGAATTAAAAACCCATATTTTATACTTCTGCCTTACGGTTTTCTCCCCTGTGATTTCTAAGCTATCGAGCCAATACCTACTGCTCCAAATCTGATGTGGACATGTTCTGCCGTGAAGTTTCCATCCTCTGCCGGCTGAACCATCCCTGTGTCATCCAGTTTGTGGGAGCGTGCCTCGATGACCCGAGTCAGTTTGCGATAGTCACTCAGTACATTTCTGGAGGATCGCTCTTCTCCCTGCTTCATGAACAGAAGAGGTATTCCACTTGCTCTCTGCTTGGGCTTCTGGCACAGAATTCGGAAGGCTAGTAAATCTATGCTGATGAATATTTACAACATTAACTTTAACATTTTATTAATTTCAGTATAAAACAATAGGGAAAGGAATACACTAGAAAAATTTTAGGTTTGATTCAGGCTATTGGGTGAACAAGGGAAATTAATAAGTAATCACTAAATTGATATTTAGTCATTATTTTACATTATATACATTTACATTACGTAGAGTGTCTAACATTATCTTGTATTTGAAACAATTCTAAAGGTTCCATGATTTACAGGTAATAATTTACAGATAATTTTCGCCTCTTTATTAAGTTTGCGTAATATTATATTTTTTTTCAAAATACAGGACTCTGGATCTGCAGTCTAAATTGATCATTGCTGTAGATGTGGCCAAAGGCATGGAGTACCTCCACAACCTCACACAGCCCATCATCCATCGTGATTTGAACAGGTAAGGTTCTTTCTTTAAGCACTGAGGGAATATGAAGCCCCAAAGCAACGGTGGTGTTCCGCGGTGTCACCCGCACTTGCAGACGCGCGTCGCTGTGCAGTGTCCCGTTAACACTGCCGGAGCCTGGAGGAAGGTCTGCTCGCACGAGTTGGACTGGGGCACTGGGGCACAATGCTCTCACGTTCACTGGAGGCTTTAACACATTTTAGTGGAGTGACTCGACAGATGGTGTCAACTTCATGCTTATACCAATTTCACCGACAGATACCTTGTCTGAGGGTTCCAAACCAGTCACACCCTGTTTGCACCCATCACTCCAGTGGGATATAGCCCTCTTCCAGCTTATGCTGGGTAGGATATTTCCCCAGTATAACTTTTTTAACACAAAATATTGATTAATTCATTTCACCTCATTTAAACTCAGTCACTAGTTCCCCCTAAGGTCGATGCAGAAATGCAAAAACCCTTCCCCAAGGCAATCTGGCCCACTGGCGTTCAACCTTGTTAGAGGCAGGAACCAAATTCTCTACTGAGCGGGATCTTCTCTGCACCAGCGATCCGATCACTCAGACCAGCCATCCTGCCCTAGCTTCTGCTTTGGAAGAGAACTAACCAAAATTACCTGTGGGTGTATTTAAAGAAGAGCAGCCAGGCGAAGAAAGTTAGTGCCGAATAGCTGCGGCAGTTTTCAGCCGTGGTGGTTGTTCTGGGAACAGCTGCTCCGTGCATACCAGCATGGTGACAAGGAAGCTGCTGCAGAAAAGGTTTTTTAAAGTATTATGCAGTGAGTTACAAAGTGGGTTTTCTTCATTTTCCACTATCTTAACTACTTGTTTAAAAAAAAAATACAGAAATGTTCATTTTGTTTGTATCTCAAGAGGCTGGCCTGTAGAGTTGCGGCAATAGAATAAATAACATTTCCTGCCTCTTGCTGTAAGTTTTCATTTCCTAGTGATACTGACAGCTGCAGTGAAAGATTCCTTCTGAGAGACACTCGTTCTTTTGAGAAAAGGAGCTGGGGTTTCCCTTTGCTGAGCTAAGAAGTAAACTGATGGTGAGACTATGCCCGGCTCGGGGTTCTGATATGAAACTCTCAGAACATATGAGGCGGCAGCAATTTCCAGGACGTTGTTGTTGGCATCTCCCAGAGAACAGCACGGCTTGCAGAGGGGAAAGGGTCTGTTCTTTTGCTCCAGGTGTTCCCACACTGTGACAAATCTGAGAGCCAGGCTTGGATGTAACGGTAATGTCTGAGTTCTGTCCCAGTGCCCAAGAACTCTGGGTTCAACGAGTGCTTTCAGAAATGAGTACCCGCTCTTGAAGTTATTTTTTAAAGGAAAGAATAACTCTATTTGTGGTTATGAAAGAAAAAATATCCCTGCAGGCTGAAGAAGCAAATGACATCACTAATGCAAAAGAAACTGCACATTTCTTTATTTTAGTCTGAAAAATGCAGTCTACAAACCGTGTCGCTTCAAACCCTAGGTTGGCAATATTGGCACAAATTCTGCTTTATACTCTGCAAATTTTAGCACACTTTACTTTGTCTGCTCTGGTGTATGAGTGCATCCATCTGCTCGTGTTAAAGCCACTGCAAGCCCATGAAAATGGGTACTCCCAGCCATTGCCAATTACACACCCGGTTACTTTATTTCAATGTGCAGATATGGTGTTTCTGGATGTGATAGATGTACGCTTTCTGGAAGAATATTGCCAACATGATATATTCATCTGTGTATATTGACTATTTGGAGGCTTAATCTGAGCATATCAATATAAGCCATATTCTGCAATTTTACTGTAGCAGAGATACATAAAAATTGTCTGTCAAAGAGTATTTTAAATGCACTTTGGATTGACTAAATACTTTCAAAAACCATGTCACTTATCAAAATTCTTTTAGCCTAAGAAAGCCTGAACTCACATTTCAGAGAGCTTTAACATGCTTCATTTTGACACTTTAAATTATTTTTTTATTCTTCCTAGCTTTTTGATTTTTTATTCAAATTCCAAATTTCTAAAATATAATTCTACTTATTAAATTAATCTCAAAAAAAAATTTGAATGTTTCATCTTCATATGAAGTAAAACTTTGTTGACAAGAAATGTCTGTTCTCCACTTTTTATTCAAAAGCATTAAGCTCCATAAAATGTTCTGAGTCAATGCAAAATGAAACAGTCCATTAAAATCAGTTATTCAAGCAGTTCGGTTAATTAGCAGGAGACAGTGCAGTTCAAACTCTCTTCTAACACATTTTGAACTAATTACGGTTCATTATCAAGTGAATAGGCTGCAAAGCTCTGCAGCAACCAGCTCGGGGTGATTCCGCAGGAATCCGGGACTCGGGGGATGTCTTTAGGAGGGGAGGCACACCCTGTCCGTCCCTGGCTGTGCTCGGCAGCGATGCCCCCCTGCAGCCCGGGCTGCCAGCCCGGCGGA